GATTGTAGTCATACAATTAATGTCGGTTCTCTCTTATTTTGAAAGAAATAAGAGTTGAACATTCGGTTTTTGTCATAATTCATAGAGTTATGATGAATTTGATATAAGTTACCTGATGAGACCCTTTAGCAAGGTCGAAACTGGTCGTGACTGCTATTAAAAATGATTTATGTATTTGGTGTTTTTTTATTTCGAATAAAAGGTTCTTTGGGCTTATGTTGGTATGTGTTTTGCTTGTTTTTGTTGGCATGTTGAAGATCATTGGTCATATTCAATTAATTATCTTCATTGGTATGTGCAAAAACAAAATCATAAAAAGATAATTCTTTATTATAATCCTATTTTTTGTGAAACATAATCTAACAGAAATGTTAAAGTATAAAGGGCGTCCCATAAGTTCTGGACCTTAACAAAAAATGTAAACAAAAAATGACTCCTATCTAACTATATATATGAGCTTCGAGTACTTAGGACGATTTTTTAAATGGCATATTATCTGATGATATTATCTTTTATAATAAAAAGTGATATAAACAGATGAAACTTGATAACTAGAGTGTGGCTCCAGAATCAACCCGACGGTCTCTCATCTAGAAGATAATTACACTCACCCTTAGATACTACGTATCAGATTGTATAATTGTGTTACGTTATATATGATGCATTCATAGTTCATTAACACTTCTATTAAAAAAAAAATACTGGTCGATTTCAAGATTTTAATTATCACGTTTCTTCTGTTTATATCACTAATATTAAAAGAGATAAGGTCATCGGATAATATGTCATTTAAAACATTTTCCTAAACACTTAAAGCTCATATAGATATAGTTGGCTACGAATCACTCTTTGTTTACGTATAAACGAACTTTCGTTGAGGCCCAGAACCTATGGAACATCTTTTAGGGGTACAAAGTTTGAACTCCCACAGATCGTGACAGATGTTGGTGATATACAATCAAAGATCATATATCAATAACGTCTCGTTACTATTTCCTTATTGCATTTCTCAAGGATTAAGTAAAAGGATAGTAAAAAAAATGTGTCCCAAAGTAGATAGAATAAAGTAATCTCCCTGTGATTAATAACGAGAGTTAGTATTTTAAATCTACAAGAATTGCATTAAAAACTTTTTATTTAGGGGTGAACCAAAAACTTGATATGGTGTACCGGGTTCAAGTGCTGAAAAATTAGAAAACTGTATGAAATCATATGCTCCAGAATTATTTTCTAAAACACCTGATCTTCTTCATCATCTTGTTACAACAATGAATCCATCAGTATTAATACGTGATGGAGTACCAGTTGTTAGAACACACCAACATGCTGGAGAATTTGTTATAACATTTCCTCGTGCTTATCATGCAGGTTTTAATCAAGGTTTTAATTTTGCTGAAGCAAATAATTTTTGTCCAGCTGATTGGGTATAATTTTATACATATAAGTGTTTTTAATTGATATTTATTTCACATATATTTTAGCTTTCGATGGGTCGTTGTGCAATAGATCATTATAAAGAAATGAAACGTTATAGTGTATTTTCACATGATGAATTAATATGTAAACTTGCATCGGAATGTCAATATCTTGATCCAGCTATAGGTGATGCAACAAAATTTGAACTTGATTATATTGTTAAACAAGAAAAAAAATAGTCGAAAATTAGCATACGAACAAGTTTGTTAATAAAAAAAAAATTTCTTATTTTTTTTTTTCTAAAATAAAATTGTTTTGTTTTTCAAAGGGAGTAACGGATGCTGATCGAGCTTGTTTTGAATTAATGCCTGATGATGAACGACAATGTGATGCTTGTAAAACAACAGGTTTCTTATCAGCTATATCTTGTTTATGTAAACCAAGTATGTTTATTTATGTTTTTAAAATATTTCTTTTTTTCACGATATTAACATTTTTAGATATTCTTGTTTGTATAAATCATGGTGATCAATTATGTTCATGTTCACCAAAAAAATATTGTTTATGGTATCGTTATACAATTGATGAAATGTCAAATATGCTTGATGCATTACGTGAACGTCTTGATCTTTGTCAGAAATAGAAAATACTTGTTAATCGACTTATTTCAAATGATCATCAAAATCTTATCGGTAGGAAATGATAAATCAATGATGTTTCGTTTTTTTTCGATATAAAGAATGATAGTCTTTTTTGTAAATTAAAATCGAAAACAATTTTACCTTTAGTTTTCAGAGATAGATGGAGGACAATGTACATTTTTGAACGAGTAAATAGCGGAATTCTGGAATTCTATAGAATCCGAAATTCAGGATTCCCTTAGATTTCGCTATTTCCTGAGCTTAGTCATTCCGAAAACTAATTTCAGAAAAAAACTATACATTCAAATTAAAAGACTTCTTCAATAATCGATACTAGACAATATGCAGTTTCAGAATATCTACTTGATGCATCTACCAGGTCGTTTAATTTTCTCATCGATATCAGTGTTTCCAAGCTAATTTTTGAAATCTAGTTGTTCCACTCTGCTGAACAATTCGTAACAAAAATTTTTACGTTATTAGATGGAGCATGTCTCAAAATATATGTATGTACGGTTAGTTGAATCGATGAAAGAGTAACTTTCATTTTTTTACCTAATGTCCTCCTGAATGCACACTATAGAGGGCGAAGAATGATTGAGTGCTAGAAAAAAGAGCGTCGCGCTCCACATAAGTTATACCTTTGCTTAGTTTTGATTAGTCATAGAATATGATTTCAAGTTTTTGTATGATAGATTTTAATGATATTGAAAAACATACGACATCTGGTGTATTATGTTTACGTGATGATATTCGTATAAAAATGGAAGAAAAATTAGCTGAAGCTATTGAATATCGACAAATGGCAAAAAATATTTTAAAACGTATAACATGCAAGTAAGAATAAAATCATAACATTATTTAATAGATGAAATAATTTATTTTATTCTAGAGATGAATTAATAGAAAATAATAATAATGATAATGATTTAAAAAAAAAGAAAAAAAATTTTAATGATGAAAATAAATTTACATTAAATGATATAAATCAATTAAAAAATCGAGTAAAATCAATTGGTATTACATTTAATGAAATGAAAACTATTCAAGTAATATATATATATATGATGGTTCTTTTTTTTTTTGTCTAATGATTATTATTAATTGAAGATTTCTTCTTTTAGAATATTTTAACTGATTGTCTTCATTATCAAGATGAAATAAAAATATTACTTCAATCGGATAAACTTCAATCAACGGATGTTTATTCAAATTATATTGAACGTTTAAAATTATTCTGTCAAGCTAGTATTTGGTATGAACTTGTACAAAAAACATTAAATCGAACAATATCATCAAGTAAACTTCGATCATTAATATCATCTGGACAAACATTTCAAGCATTACATAAACAAATTCAACAAAAAATTAATGAATTACAAATACAATTACAACAATTAGAACATTGGGACGAAAAAACTCGACCATTAACCAAAGAAGAGTAAGTTATTCCAGTAGAACTATTAGATTATATGATAGGTCTTACAATTGAATAGAATTTAAGTTTAAAAGAAAAAAGAAAAAATTATTGAGGAAAAATTTTTAAATAATATAATTATTTTGATGACGATTGATTAATTATTAATAAACTCAGAAAATTTTAACTTTTGAAAATTGCATTTTAATTCTCTTAAGGATGGAAGAAAGAGAATAAAACAAAGTTCTGTATAAATCAAACTATTCATTTAACAAAATATTATCTTTATTACAAACTCTAAACATCAATCTGTCTAATTCATAAAACTCAATAATACACGTAAAGAGCAGCTTTTATGACTTATTTTTTCCTAAATCTTGTTATCTTTTATTATAACGGAAGGAGCAAAAGTTCTGCATTTGTCTAGTACAAAGACTTTGATTGGAAATGTTTTTTTGAAGGTCGTCACTGCCTTAGAACAAAAGATATTGAATAACTCTTTCACAACTTTCTTAATTTAGAAAAACTTCATACAATATAAAAAACGTTTGCTATAGCGGATATGAATATTATTATAACATCTTCTGATACCACTGATTTTCCCTTAACTACTGATCATAGACAAAAAAAAAATTTAATTCTACTTCGAAAGAGAAATTGTTAGAAAACTTTGTTTTCACATCATAAATACAAAATCGGTTTTTCAATTAAACTATTTCCTGTTCAATCTCTTGTATATCCTGATCAATTATTTTAATACCATATGAAAGCCGTCGTTGTAATCAAAAAGTTGTATATATGACGCTGGAGAACATCGAAAATTGATAATCAAAAAAGTCAAACAAATATATTGTGATTGAAGTTGTTACGGAAGACTTTCCTACTACCTATTGTTCTAAAATTTTTATGATCTTCAAAAAAAAACTTTCGATCAAATTCTTTTATTTTTTTTTTTTTTGCCTAACATTTCTACGATATTCCATTGCAACGTTATATCAAAAACAAAATTCATACTGTAGTTTTCTCTCATGCATAAAAGCAATAGATAAATCTCGATAGTCTTCTTTTATCAAAAATATTCTTTCTTATTCTTTAGACCACATCCAACATTAAATACTTTAGAACAATTTGTTAAAAGTGTTAATGAAGCAAATATTCATTTAAATTCAATTGATAAAATAAAAACTTTAATTAATGAATGTCATCTATGGAATGAAAAATTTGAACAAATGCAACAAGGTGAACATTATCCATTTTTATCTTCATATGAACAATTATATGAACAAACTCGACATTTTCATATTGATTTGGAACCATTAAAATTAATTGAACAAACTATTTTACAAGTACGTTCATTACTTGAAAAAACACAAACAGTTTTTCGTCGACCAGATTCAAATTTAACTTTAATTGAGGTTGAAATTTTAAATAAAAACGTACATAAGATTTTGAAATTGGAGAACGTTTGGATTAAAATGCATATAACCTAATTCACTTTAAGGGGACCCCCCCCCCCCCTCAGAAACGATTTCTCACTTAAAATGAACCATTTGGGCTGAAACTTTCAGGAACAAGTGGTCCTGGTGAGATACGCTTGTGATAAAAATTTCAGCTCGATACACTCGAGTAGATCGAACTTACGGCTTGTTTTCATACTCCCAGGAGAATGAGAATCACTCAGTCGTAGTAAAGGCTAGAGAGCTCGGGGTGGTGTCAAATTAAAGCTAATCTCTGTGCGCAACTTTTCATCAGACGGATTTTTGAAACTCCTTTCCATTCATTTTTTATGACCATTTTACTGGGCAGGTCTGAAAAACACATCACTCGAACGACAGTAAATTCCACTTTTCTCAGCCTAAGAGAAATGGATCAAAAATCCGTCTGATAAAAAGTTAGCCCTGATTCAGAGCTTTAAAACAAAAAGAAAATATTGAATAATACCCAAGACCGGGATGGAGTGATTCCAATTTTCCTGCTGAGAAACCATATTCTGAGAAAAATGCTAAAAGATTTTTAGAAATGGATTTTTTCATTCAAATCCAGAGCAAGCCATATTACAATGGTATATTCCATTGCACCATTTTAAAGGACGTAAAATATGAAGGTAGCTAGCGCTATCTGACGTGCTGGTTCATATAAAAATATTCTATTCAATAATAATGCAAGTGGGAGCGCAATTTTTCTGAAACTGAAAACCATGGAAATTTCTCCGAAAACATGGTAGTCGATTTAAAGTTTCATGCGATAAGTCTTTGAAAATCTGATCATTTTCCAAAAAACTATACATATTCTGAAAGAGGAAGCTTCGCTGCATCTTCCTATGATAAAAGCTCAACTTCGATATTTTCCTGAAAAACTTGATTTTCTGAGGGGGGGGGCCCTTAAATGTAGTCTCTTGTATATGTTGATTCATCATATATTTTATAAGAAAAATTCGAACAGCTGATACGTGCTCATCGATCGGCCATTAAGACTATTATTTCTTTTTTTTTTGCTCCGCTTATATAGTCCGATGTGAATGTTATTGTTCGATGGAGATATATATATAAGAAAAAAAAATTAACAAACACGAACAATAAAATTTTTACAATTTTACATTCATACATTTATCTCGATTAAAAAGTATATTATATCATAAATGGCATTAAATCAAGAAACTCCTATATATGTCAACGTAAAACTTGAACAATCTGACGTTTTTATGAACAAAATGTCATCAAGTGAACAATTTGAAGAAATCGAAGATGATGATAAACTTCAAGTAAGAATTATTCTTGATTCTATTATCACAATAAGTTTCTTTTTTTTTCGTTAGTTATTATCATATCTTATTAATAATCCCTCAACATCTGATAAGAAAAAAGCAAAATGTCTTCATCAACGTATTATTATCAACTATGAAAATAAAAATTGGCTAAGTAAGTTTAATTATGCTGTTCTAATTAAGCATTTTTTCTTTCGTTTCAGATGTAGTCGATGACATAAAAATGTTCGAGGAAATAAATAATTCTGGTGTATTTTCAGTTTTAAAAATGTAAGTTAACGAATTTCATTACTTTTATATACATGTTGCTCTCTTTTTAGTAAAGCTAGACTTCATGAACATTGTCGAAAAGCACGGCTCTCCATCATGAAAATGATGGATAATGGAAGTAAGTATTGAAATATTTTCGGTCATTGTATTTCATTTTTTTTTTATACAAACAGATTATTGTGATGAACATGAAAAGCTATTTTACAATATAAGTCAAAAAAATATCGACGATTTGATCAATGGTAAGATTTTGATGGAAAATATTTATTTACATTGTTTACTGTTTTATATTTAGGTGAAATGCCAATACGTTGTCGATCAGCAAAGAAATCAATCAAGCGATTAACAAAATAACATTCAATTTAATTTAAGATAGACTTGTTTATTTTGATTTATGATTAATCATGATGAATATGACATTTATTATATAGTTCTTCCTAATTCAACTCAATGGTTTTTTTTTTCATTATATTCACTATTTATCTTTATGGTGTTTCATTGTCTTGCAAAATTGATTGTATTCTTTATGTGTTTCAATTTTGTCAATGACTAT